ATTAGTGAAATAATTGTTAGTAAATATATTATTAATGTGAGAATTGTTAGTGAGAGGATTAAGTAAAAATGTGTTTATCTTGATGATAATATGGGAGATGATTAGTGATGGGATTGTTAAATTATTTTTATATAGAATAATTAAATAAATTATTTCTATATTAAAAAAATTAGAACAAATATTAAAATAAATAGGTGCACTGTGTAAAAAAAATAAAATAAAATAAAATAAATAAAATATTTATATAAAATAGACTCAATCCCCTCACTATTTTCTTAATTCTACCCAAAATCCAGCCAAACAAATCCCCCTATGTGAGGGTATTCATAGTGTCATAGGACTACTAGTTTCTTTCTATTTTTGTCAACCAAACATAGGTTTTGTAAAACCCACAGAATTGATAGTCCAATCCCCTCATATATGGAGCCAAACAAATATGACCATAAAATCTATGTGAATAAGTCAATGAAAAAATAAATAAATCAAGGACTAAAAAATAGAGAAATAGAGATAATAGAAAATTGGGCAAATTACATTAAAGATCCCATAATTTGGGGCTTCTGTCACTTTAGTTCTTGATTTTTTTATTGTGATACATTTGACTCTAAATTTTAAATCTTGTTCCAAATAAGGACAATTGAATATACTATTCCTCAATTTTAATGGCAAAGTTGTCAATTTAATAAAATATAACTGATTTGACAAAAATAAATGTCAAAAATATTTAAAATTTTAAAAATTATTTCTACCCACCAATGATAAAATTATATAAAATTGATAAATCTTTTACACGTTTATTTATTTTATTTTGCCAAATTAATTTTTATTATGTGTTTGGATAATGATTGTGTAATGGGTGGTTGTTTTTATTTTCATTAAATTAGTTTCTATTTTTTCAAAAATTAAATGTGCGACAACTTTGATATCATTATTAAACCAATCCATTAAATCAAAAAATCCAAAACTAAAAACATTTCATGTATTAAACATATCGATTACATATTAAAAGTCTAGCAACCACCCATTACATGATCATCATCTAAACACATAATAAAAATTAATTTGATAAAAAAATAAATAAATGTGTAAAAGATTTATTAATTTTACATAATTTTATCTTTGGTAGGTAGAAATAATTTTAAAAAATTCAAAAATATTTTTTTGACATTTATTTTTATCAAATTAGTTTATATTTTATCAAATTGGCGATTTTACCTTTGAAATTAAGCAATAGTATCTTTAATTGTCCTTACTTGGAATAAAATTTAAAATTCAAAATTCAAAATTAAATATGTCACAATTGAAGAATCAATTATCAAAATGATACAAATTCTAAACTATAAAAACTGTTAATGTAATTCGCCCTAGAAAATTACATCTAAAGTACTCATATAAAGTGTTTACGAAGAAACAAAATATATACTACTGATATGAATTATGTTTCAATTTAAATAAAATTTTATGTAAAATGCATATGAGTTCAAGTTTCAAGTTGATTTAGATTAGATATAATCTAATTTGATAATTGAGTTGACCTGATCATGTTCATGAATTTTAGACCGAAAATTGAACCATTATTATTAGAAAAGAAAATCAAATTAAACCATAAAAATTGAATTGATTGAATTCCCCAGTTTTAATGTGTCCCTTATATGACTATTTAAAATCAATCATGAAAGCAACGTATGAAAGAGTAACCTCGAAGATGCACTTTTGCATGTGCACCATTTGCAATTGAATATTTTAAACTTAGGGGTCAATAATACATTATCAATGATCTTGCTTGGTTCTATTTTTCTAAAAATAGTTTTTGAAAAATTTTACTTTTTTATTTTTTGTATTTTTTTGTTTTTATTGAATTTTTTAAATATTTTATGCAAATTTTTTACTTTTTAGACACACCTAACATAAATACACTTAAAAAGTAAAAAAATTATAAAAAAAATCTTTTAAAAATTCACTAAATACAAAAAATATAAAAAAAAATACAAGAATTCAACACATTTTTTTTATTTTTATGTATTTCTTAATTTTTTAAAATATTTTTTTAATATTTTTTTACTTTTTAGATACATCTAAGTAACGTGTATCTAAAAAAATAAAAAAATATTGAAAATTTTAAAAATATTCACTAAAAATAAAAAAATATAAAAATCAAAAAATTTAATTTTTAAAAATTTTAATCCAAAAAATTCAAACCAAACACACTGATTATGATTTCTTATTTTATGTTAAATAAATAAATAAGGTCTCAATTCAATCCTAAAACAAAGTTAAAATTGGAGTCAATTTGGAGCTTTTACTTTTTTAGGCCAAACTCTAGGGTCTTGTGCATCGGCCCGCCCATCCAGGAAAAAGGGAATCCAAAGGGGAGAGACAGAGAGAGAGAGAGGGAGATTTTCTTAGGATTTTGCTCAAGTAATAAGAATTGTTATTGTCTCAAAATAAAAACTATGTTTATTTTTAATTTTTTAAAAACATTTTTTATAAAATTTTATTTTCTTATTTTTTATATTTTTTGTATTTTTATTTAATTTATTTAATATTTTAGATAATTTTTTTAAATTTTAATACATACTAACATAAATATACCTAAAAAGTAAAAATTTGGTAATTTATTTTTTAAAAAATTCATTAAATACCAAAGAATACAAAATAATATAAGAATTCAGTATATATTTTTATGTATTTATTAATTTTTAAAAATATTTTTTCATAAATTTTTTACTTTTTAGATACATCTAAGTAAGGTGTATGGAAAGAAAGACTTTTTTTTGGTTTTTTTTTTTTTTTTTTGTTGAAAAAATGAAAACTAATTTGATATTTTTTAAAAAGTAAAAAATACTTTTAAAAATACTTTTTTAAAAAATACTTTTTTAAAAATTTTAAAAATTAAATTCAAAATTACTAAAAAATATTTTTAAAAACTCGAAAAAAACCTCAGTTTTTAAAAAGCTAAATTCAGAAAACTGAAACCAAACACTTTGAATAGTTTTTTTAAAGAATTTAATTTTTTTAATTATTACACTTTAAAAATATTAGTTTTCTAAAATTACTCTTTGATAGTATATTTTTTTAGAAATATCAATTGTCATAATTGTACTTTTTATATTATTAATGAAAGCAAAATAGAAAATTCATATTATTCTAATCATTGATTTTTGAAAAAGGATTAATATTTTGAGATAATGAAAAATAAAATAAGAGACTAATATTTTGAGACGGGAGAATAAAAGAATTTGGTCATTCTATAATACATATTTCTTTTTGAATGTGTATGATAGGTAAGTTATAATATTTGTGTCCTAATTAAATTATTTGAAATTATAATTTAAACAAAACATAATGAGTCAGAATTAAAATTTATTTGGGACACAATTAAAAAAAAATTTAGTAGTAATCAAAATGATAGTCACAATAGGCCATAACCGATATCATAATAAATTATAACTAAAGGTTATAACACTTGAGACATAATCAAAACATCTTCGGTCAAAATTAAAATAAAAACTACAAAACATTCTAGCTAAGACATAACTATATTACAAAATGATATTACAAAACCATTAAGTTAAAAATCCTGATTCTATGATATATTAATCACATGTTATTTTTTTCACAGCTGAACATGATTACAAATTACTAATTACTAATCAAATCTCCATTTATACTGTTCAAAAAAAAATCTCCATCTCTATAACCCTGCAATCAAACATTGCTTTACCAAAAACTGAAAATTTTGACGAGATAGGGGGCATCTACTAAAATTTCAAAAAAATACAACAAATAGAGCGCAAACAAATCTAGAGCATATCCAAAATAATAAGCATACAATGTCTTTTTTCTTTTTTTTTAAAGGTAAATTATACTAACCATAATATAGTTTGGAATTTGTATTGTTTTGATTCCTAATCATTTAATTGTAACACATTTGACTCTAAATTTTAAATCTTATTTCAAATGAAGACAATTGAAGATACCATTACTCATTCGGAAGGGCAAAGTCGTCAATTTGATAAAATATAAACTAATTTGATAGAAATAAATATCAAAAAATTATTTTTGAATTTTTAAAAATTATTTCTATCCACTAAAGATAAAATTATATAAAATTGATAAATCTTTTACACATTTATTTTTTTTTTTTTACCAAATTAATTTTTATTATGGGCTTAGATGTTGATAATGTAATGAGTGGTTGTTAGGCTTTTAATGTGTAATCGATATATTTAATATATGAAATGTTTTTAGTTTTGAATTTTTTGATTTAATGGATTGGTTTAATAATGATATCAAAATTGTTGCCATATTTGACTTTTGAAAAAATAGAAACTAATTTAATGAAAATAAAAACAATCACCCATTACATGATCATCATCCAAAACACATAATAAAAATTAAGGGAAAATTGGTCTAAGGTCCCTCTCCCAATTTTAGTAATGGAAGAGATCCACAATATTATTTTATGATGTCTAAGGTCCCTCTTCCTCTTTCGTACGCAACAATTTCTTCTTCCCTCTCTCCGATTCACTGAGATCGAAGTTTCGGAATAATCATCACTTCTCGAAAGCTTCGTGATCTTTGCCGTCTCGACCTTATTGCAAATCGAATTAACGTTGAGATCCAATATCTCTGTCTCTGTCTCTCTATGTTTAGAGTTGTTTGTGATAGAGATCTTGAATTAGAGACTCTGAGAGTGATTTGAAGGTTGTAGAGAGCATTGATATATTTGAGTTTGAGGAAACGCAATCAGAATCAGAAGAAGATTACAGTAATATCAATGAATTACAAAGATTGGAGAATCTGAGTTCAATGAATGAGACACTAAAATCACGAGAAAACTGTGGGTGAGGAGGCTTTGTCTGCGTCTGTGTTTGTGTCTGTGAGTATGAGTGTAACGCTAATGTAACAGCTATTGGTGAGGTTCTATAGAAAAGAAGAGAGACAGATGTCTAGAGAGAGAGAGAGAGAGTTGGTTGTGGTTGTGGATTTGGATTTGGCGATGGAAGACAAGTGGAGCAGAGATCTTCGGTATCACAACAGTCCAAAGCAAGAGTTGAAGATCAGGTCTCTCTCTCTATCTCCCTCATTTTCGTGTTTCTCTTTCCCCTCTGTGATTTCAATTCCTTCAAGAGCTTAGGGAATAACTATCTATGGCTCAAGGATCACAAGTTGTTTCCATAAGTTAAAGAGGTGTTTCAGGACAAAGCGACACTGAGCGCGGCGGAGATCGGCAAAATCATGATAGCCAACAAGAACTCATCGAGTAGGGCGTTGAGGTCGGTGATCGGAATAGCATATTCACCTTTCTCTTTAATCGATGTTTCACAACCTTTGATTTTGTATTTGTTTTGTGTGATTGGTTCTTTGAAATCACTGTGTGTGTGGAATTGAAAGGTCTGTAATCAAGGATTTACTTCAATTTGTTGCAATTACGATATGGAAATTGATTTGTGTTTTGTTTGATATTGTTTCACATATACATTTCAAGAGGTTTGTGGGAAGTCTAGAGAAGGCCAGAGAATTTTCAAAACTTCTCTGGAGAGGTGGAGAGGTAATTTTGTGGGAAGTCCAGGGAAGGCTGGAGAAGGCCAGAGTTAATTTCTCTGGAGGGAAGGCCAAAGAAGGGAAATTTCTATGGAGAGAAGGGAAGACCTGATCATGTCGACGCCTTGATAGCACTGGACCATTAGATTCCAATGGAGCCCACAATCTATGAAAATCCCAAATCACATTCACATCAGTTACCAAATACACTACTACTAACTAATCTCAATCTCACCAAAACAACCATAAAATGCATAGCATACGTATACTACATCTGTTCTAACTATTCTATTACATAAATGCCTACAACATTTTGTCACAACCTTTACATTTCAAATTCTCCTACGAATATTTTACTTTTTTATTTTAAATTTCAAATCTTTATAGCTTCTTCACTGGATCCTTAAATATTCAATTGCAAATGGTGCACATGCAAAAGTGCATCTTCGAGGTTACTCTTCATACATTGCTTTCATGTATGGTTTAAATAGTCATACAACGGACACATTAAAACTGAGGAATTCAATCAATTCAATTTTTTATGGTTTAATTTGTGTTGGCTACATATTTTGTAAAAAGCCAGTTACAGTTCGACACGTGGCAGAGTAAAGGTAATAAAGGGAGGTTATTCAGCCTTTAATCCTATCGTACACGTGGCAATAAATATTGGTCCTCACATGATCTGAGTAACACTAGATCAATAATGGGTTGCAAGAGATGACATATCTTCAACGGTTACTCATATTCAAATTCAAGTACAAGAGGAAAACTCAACTGCCAGTAATGGCGTAATGGAGCTACTTGTAAGGAAGCATGATCAGCGATCATGGAGGAGCAGTTCAACGGTTCGAAGTGCAGTTCGAAGGTCATTCACTGACGAGTATAAATAGCAGGGCAGCCCCAGAAAAAAAGACGGACTCAGATCATACAAATCAGTCATTTACTTCATATATTTCTTTTCAGTCTTTAATTTTGTCTTTAAAATACCTGTCTTTAAATACCTGCACTTTAAATACCCGCACTGCACTTTCGATCATAGGAGTAGCTTCAAGTAGATTCAAGTAGATTGTTGTTGTAAAACCTCCCGAGCCTGAGTTCGACCATTGTAAGTGTTCATTTTAAATGAAATACTTCAATTGTTTTTCATATTACTGTCATTTCTATTAAATTCTCCTAAGTCAAGCCACCAGTAAAAGTCCTCTCATGAGGCTGAAAGAAACTAAAACACAATCGTCTGATAATTGGTTGGCAATCCAATTTCTGTAAGGACTGATTGATCCTTGCTGGCACGCTCACATTCACAAAACTACCCTTCGAAAAGCCAAAAAAGCCAACATTATATTTTCTGGCACGTCCCAGTGGGACTTAATTAAAAATGGCTAGAAGAAAGACGACAAGGAGAAAATGAACGCTTGGAAGAAGGCGTGGAAGAAGAGGTAGAAATACCAAATCCAGAGGATAATGTGTAACACCCATCTGTGGAAACTCCTATATTGTCAGAACCTATGGTCGAACAGACCAGTTACTCTGGAACAAAGAACCATTTATTGTTCATTATTATTGGACAAAACCCAAGGAATTGGACAGTCACATGTGCCATTTATTCAACCAAACAAATCCATGGGATGGTTTTAGTTAAATGCCATGGGACAACCAATTAATGAACACACAGCGGATCCTTAAAAATATTCAATTGCAAATGGTGCACATGCAAAAGTGCATCTTCGAGGTTACTCTTTCATACATTGCTTTCATGATTGGTTTTAAATAGTCATACAACGGACACATTAAAACTGAGGATTCAATCAATTCAATTTTTATGGTTTAATTTGTGTTGGCTACATATTTTGTAAAAGCCAGTTACAGTTCGACACGTGGCAGAGTAAGGGTAATAAAGGGAGGTTATTCAAGCCTTTAATCCTGATCGTACACGTGGCAATAAATATTGGTCCTCACATGATCTGAGTAACACTAGATCAATTAATGGATGCAAGATGACATATCTTCAACGGTTACTCATATTCAAATTCAAGTACAAGAGGAAAACTCAACTGCCAGTAATGGCGTAATGGAGCTACTTGTAAGGAAGCATGATCAGCGATCATGGAGGAGCAGTTCAACGGTTCGAAGTGCAGTTCGAAGGTCTCACTGACGAGTATAAATAGCACAGCGGAGAAAAAAGACGGACTCAGATCATAACAAATCAGTCATTTACTTCATATATTTCTTTCCAGTCTTTTACATTTCTAGTCTTTAAATACCTGTTCTTTAAATACCTGCACTTTAAATACCCGCACTGCACTTCGATTCATAGGAGTAGCTTCAAGTAGATTCAAGTAGATTGTTGTTGTAAACCTCTCCGAGGCTGAGTTCGGACCATTGTAAGTGTTCATTTTAAATGAAATACTTCAATTGTTCTTCATATTACTGTTATTTCTATTTTACTTCTCCTAAGTCAAAGCCACCAGTAAAAGTCCTCTTCATTGAGGCTGAAAAGAACTAACACAATCGTCTGATAATTGGTTGGCAATCACAATTTCTGTAAGGACTGATTGATCCTTGCTGGCAACGCTCACATTCACAAAAACTACCCTTCGAAAAGCCAAAAAGCCAACATATATTTTTGGCACGCCCAGTGGGACTTAATTAAAAATGGCTAGAAGAAGACGACAAGGAGAAAATGAACGCTTGGAAGAAGGCGTGGAAGAAGAGGTAGAAATACCAAATCCAGAGGATAATGTGGTAACACATCCTGTGGAAACTCCTATATTGTCAGAAACTATGTCGAACAGACCAGTACTTCTGGACAAGAACCATATGTTCATATTATTGGACAAAACCAAGGAATTGGACAGTCCACTG